TGTAACTTTTCCACCTTAAATCTATCTCATCCTATAAGACTCAGATTAGATATCAACTTCTTTAGGAGGTCTCCCCTGGCACCCGAGTTGGGCCAAAATTGCATATTTATGTTTCCACAGAACCTGGCAGTTCTCACCTCATTATATTCACATTATCTATTTTCTAGATCTGTTCTCTTACTAAAAGGTAGAGCTTTATCTCAGTCATTCTTCTATTCCCAGACATGACACTGACAAATTGCGTATCTAGAATATATATTTGTTGGATGCCAGCTGAAAACTCTTAACAGATGGGTAAAATGTGGACAAATAAGAAGTGCTAGTCTTTCTCTTGCCTCTGCACCATCACAAGTGCTGTATCCTCTGCAAATCCACTCCCATGATCCTCCTAACCTCTTGCCATTCTTTTAGCATCAGTTTAGTTGACACTTTCTCTAGGACCCCTACCCTGAACTAGTGAAATGGGGCTAGGATCCACTTTTATAGCCTCCCTTATCTACCTAATCTTTATCATAGGATTCTTCTTCAACGAACTTTTCACTTGTCCAAATTTCCCAAATAACTATGGTGTGTGAGAACAATTAGGAGACTACATTATAGCCGGGCTCAGTGGCTCAGCCTGTAATCCCACGCCTTGGGAGGCCGAGGTGAGTGGATTGCCTGAGCCCGCGGGTTCAAGACCCGCCTGGGCAACTTGGCGAGACCTCATCTCTACAATAAATCAAAAATCAGCCGGGCGTGGTAGCACGCGCCTGTAGTTCCAGCTACTTGGAAGGCTGAGGCGGAAGGATCGCTGGAGCCCAGCAGCTCGAGGCTGCGGTGGCTGGAAGTGGCCACTGCACTCCAATCTGGGCGACAGAGTGAGACTCCAACTCAAAAAAAAAAAAAAAAAAAAAAAAAGACTACATTGTATCCACCGAGTCCCTGAAATGTCGGCCTGGCACTGCAGTGGGTGATCAAGAAATAAATGATATGTCTATGTCCTTGAGGGTCTTATACTCATTGGGTCGTATACATTAAATATGTATAACTTTTCAATCTTTTGCAAAAAGAACAAAGCTGGTTCCATCACACTTCCAGACTTCAAACTTTACTAAAAGGTTTCAGTAACCGAAACAGCACAGCACTGGTACAAAAAGAGACACATAAACCAATGGAATAGGGCAGAGAACGTGGAAATTAAACCACAGGCCTTACAATCAATTCATCTTTGACAAAGCTGACAGAAAAAAATATTGGGGAAAGGAAACCATACTTAGCAAATTGTGCTGGGAACACGGGCTGACCACATGCAGAGAAATGAAACTAGACCCCTACCTATCACTATATACAACTCCAAATGGATCAAAGACTTAAATGAGAAACCTCAACCTATGAAAGTCTTAGGGAAAAAAACAGAGGGAAACTCACCTGGACACCAGCATAGGCAACGAATTAATGGCCAGCTCCTCAAAGGCAAATGCAGCAAAAACTACAACTGACAGGTGGGAACTTATAAAGCTAAAGAGTTTTGTGCACAGCAAAAGAACCTATCAAGAACGCAAAGAGACAACATACAGAATAGGGCCAAAGAAAACATCCGCAAGCTATGCATCAACAAAGGCCTAACATCCAGGATCTATAAGGAACTTGTATGAATTGACAAAGACAAATAATCCCATTAAAAACTAAAAACTGGGCAAAGGACATGAGCAGACATGTCTCAAAGAAAGACATCCAAGCAGCCAACGAACACTAAAAAATGGTCAGCATCACTAATCATCAGAGAAATGCAAATCAAAACTACAATGAGATACCACCTAACTCCAGTAAGGATGGCCATCACTGAAGGAAAAAAACAAAAAACAGGTGTTGGCAAGGCTGTAGAGCAAAGGGAATGCTTCTACACCGTTGCTGGAAATGTAAGCTAGTTCAGCCTTTGTGGAACACAGTTTGGAGCGATCTCAAATAACGAAAAATAAAGCTACAATTTGACCCAGCGATCCCACTTCTGGGAATATGTCCAAAGAAACACAAACTGTTCTACCAAAGAGACACCTTCATGCATATGCTCATTGCAGCGCCATCGACCACAGCAAAATCACGGAACCAACCTAGATGCCTATTGAAGGTGGACTGGGTAAAGAAAATGTATACACAACGGAATGCTATGCAGTCACAGAGAAGACAAAACTATGTCCTTGGCAGCAACATGGAGGCAGCTGGAGACCGTCATTCTAAGTGGATTATCAGAGAAACAAACGACTGACTACTGCATGCTCTTACTTATAAGCGGGCACTAAACACGGGACACCTTGGCACTGCTAAAGAAGGGAAGGAAAGGGGAAGCAGGAATAAGGGGCACCAAACCACCCAGTGGCACCACCCCCACCGCAGAAGTGGGGAGGGATCATCAGGAGCTCAGATTCTGCCTTCACACAATATACTTACATGTTCCCCACGATTCTAACATGAAAATAATAATACATGAAAATAAATATGTACAGCTTTTTATGTATCAAACATACTTCACTAAAGTGGTTTAAAAATATATTAATATCCTTTATCTGCCAATATCAATTGAAAATGTCAACAGGTGAATAAAGAAATCAATGGATAAATATAATCTCATGGTCATACTGAATACTGAAGGGATAAAAATTATACTTATATTGCATTGTCATTTTCAGTTTACTGAATTATAAAAAAAGAAGAGAGAACAAAAATGGAGACCTTATTTTTTTAGTGATTTTACTTTAGTAATAATCTTTTAGGAAAGCGGTCATCTGGCTGATCTGTCAATTATTTTAACAAATACATGCTAATTGGAAGTTTTCTCTGAAGGGATCATTTTCGAATGTGTCTCAAGTGTCCAAACTGTGCTATTTTAGAACTTCTTATTTATGATTTTACTTTTCTAATATCCAGTTTTATCAGTTTTCTTTACATTTTCTGTAGCTTTGGGAATGTTTTACTCCATTTTCTGAGTTCTCCTCCTTCGAGAACATCCCTTTTCCCTGCTGCCCTCAGTTCTCCTCTTAACTTTCTAATGAGTTCTTTTCTCTCTCGCCTACTGGCTCTCTTCTTCCTACTAACTGAGACCTTGACCTTAATTCTTCTGCTTCAAGTTTCACCTCACTGCCTCAGTGATTCTGTCTCCTTCCATAAAGCCACTGTCGCTCAATTCCCAAATTTCCATCTTTAATCTCAGTGACTTCACTAAGTCCATATTTCTAACTGCGTATTTCACTGATACTTCATATAAATACATACAAAATTGAACTTACTGACTTCCTCTGGATTTTTCAAGTTTTAGGAAAAAATGGCATCATCCATTGTCACCCAAGCTCAGACCTTGGCACCATCTATGACATTTTCCTCTGTCTTGATCTTATCATTAAAGCAGCAGCCGATTTCTGAGGCACTACTCCCCTAATATATTTCATGTCTGCTTCTGAATCCTAGAAGCTTGCTATTTGCAAGTCTGCTAACTAAGTGATGACTTCCCAACAATTTTCCTCAACTATGTTTTGACCTTCAAACCTTTCATAATGAGTTTCATCTAAGCTTGAAGGCATGGGAGTCAAGAAATGAGAAAGGGTCTAGCCTTATCCCAGACAGATAGCACAGCAGATACCCAGTAAATATTTACGAAAATGGAAAATAAAATGAAACCCAACTATTCTAGAAATGATGTCATGCTATTATCCTGCATGAAGATCTTCGATGAATTTCCATTGTCAGCCAGGCTTGGTGGCTCAGCCTGTAATCCCGTGCCTTTGAGAGGCTGAGGTGAGTGGATTGCCTGAGCCCGCGGGTTCGAGACCCGCCTGAGCACGCGAGACCTCATCTCTACAATAAAAAAAAAAAAAAATTCAGCCGGGCGTGGTAGCACATGCCTGTAATTCCAGCTACTTGGAAGACTGAGGCGGAAGGATCGCCGGAGCCCAGCAGGTCGAGGCTTTGGTGGCCGGGAGCGGCCACTGCACTACAGTCTGGGCAACAGTGAGACTCCAACTCAAAAAAAAAAAAAAAAGAATTTCCATTGTCTACAGGATAGAGCTCCAAAGTCTGAGCATGGCTTGGCTCTTATAAGCCTTCTTCCTGCTCCCATTACTCATGCCCAGATACCACGGGGGATCCATCTGACGGCACTAGATGTCAGGCCTCTTGGAGGCCAAGTTCAGAGACTTGTCTGAGCCATTCCATTCTGGGTGAGCCTCTCTTAAGACAAAGCCTAAGTCTATCCTTAACACTTAGTACATTGTTTCTCCACATCTCCTACTCTATGGTAAGCTGTTTGAAGATAGGAGCCATTTCTAAAAAAAATTCCTTGGGGTCTACCACAATATTTGTAGTTAACACATTTTGGTCAATATACTTTTTTCTTCTACTGGTTATGCAACCAATTAGCTATATGTCCTTGGACAAACTACTTAATTGACTGGATTTAATTTTCCACTCCAGGCCCAATGGCCTGTGCACTGTGCTATTTTCAAACCAAAAAACATGCATTTTCTAATGTTTATGCTTTCTCCCATGTCTTTTGCACTTGAACTTGTTGAATTTTTTCCAATTTTTCAACATATCAGCATTATCCACCAGTTTTGTTTATCTAATTTCCTTCACTTTGTTTTCAATCTTACAGCACTTTGTAAGCCTTCCTCACAATTAGAATAATATTTTGCCAAATAATTAGTTAGTCAACGATTCCCACTGTTCTATACGCCATGACATAAACTGCTTTATAGTAAAGACCATGCTCTATTTGTCTTTCTGTCTCTCCCAAGTAACACTATTCTTGGCACACAGGAAAAACTCAGAGTTAAATTAATGAGAATCTGTGTTACAATGAACGTCAGAACACACTGCAACAGAATACGGACAGCAAAACTGTGAGTCCACGCAGAAGCAGCTTCCACTCTCCATTTGGCAATACAATCTTTCATAACCACTATAATGCGGACACGTCTTATTTGCCTGTAATTCTTTCCTTCAGCTCTAACCCTCAGTCAACTTACTTTATATTCTCATTTGCAGGAACTTCGGGCAGTTGCACAGTAATCATGCCGTCCAAGTTGGTCTTCCCGATGAAGGCAGGCTTGGTGCGGAGCACATCTGGTGCCGTCTTGGCTGTGACCCTGTGTTGCAGCCCACCAGCGCTGTTTCCACGATTTGTCAGCACGAACGAATAGGACTTCTCGGGCTTCAGGTTGACAATTAACTTCTGTGTGGCTCGGCCGTCCACTTCCTCTACCATTTTCCCATCGTCATAAAGAATCTGGAGAGGCACAACCAATCAGAATTTCGGCCCTCAGGTAAAATACATGTTCTAAACTAAGGTGCAACTTGCCTATGGAGAATACACGAGGTCAGTTCTACTTGTGGTTGGTTCCTAATCCCATAAATGTTCACAGTCCTAGAGGCTGTCTCAATTTTCCTGTCAGTTCATACTGCATAATGACATAAGATTTCTGAGTCTATTAAAAAGGCACGGCAAGATACATACAATAACTTTCCAATATCGAACCTGTCGGTTGCATGTTATCTAATGAAATATGGGCAGAAATGCTCTAGGTTTTCAACGTATTATCCGTATCACTTATTTTCAGAAGGTTTCAATTCCTGTTCCTAAACATACTTTAATTTCAAAAATGTTTTTCTACTGCTTATCTCACAGACTTGTACTTCTTGCTAACATCTCTCAATACGTCTCAGTGGCAAACCAGAGAAGAAAAGGAGCCAAGAATTCAAACCAACAAATTCATAAACTCTCAGGATACTGCATTATAAATAGGTAGAAGCCATGTGAATCTCATGCACTGGTAGAAAAACAAAAGCCCAAGCTTAGATGTAACATGCTCAAGTTCAAAGTAGCAGGTAGCCCACAAGGGATATTAGCCCTGGGTTTGAGCTTCTGCCCCCTCATTAGGGTGAAAAGGTGACGCTTCCAAGTCACCAGACTCAATCTCCTCTGTGAAATTCACAAATGCAGACAGCAAGTGCCTGCAGCCAAATCAACGTGGCCTTGCTCTGCAAACCACTTACCCAGATAAACCGTCCCTCCACCTTTACCTGTGATTTCTTACCAACGAGACAATGACTTACTTTGAAAGGCATGGCGGAATTATAATTCTCTGGAATCTCCCAAGACAGCAACACTGAAGTCTTCATTACTGCTTTGACATGAAAATTTTTTGCAAACACTGCTGGAAAAGGAAAAACAGTGTATTTAAACTATTCCTCAAAACGTGTGACCTGTCCTTTTCCACCACGGACCAGAGGGCTTATGCTAGGTGCTGTCTACTTTGGTCAGAGAGAGAAGTATGATTTGCCTACCTGTTTAGAGCACTCATTTCAATACCCCATTTTCATAAAGATCTCTGCTCTCTCTCCAACTCAGCCAACTATATTGCATTTTCCTTACCTGAGGACATCGGGGCGCTGCCAGCCAGACTTTCTTGGCATTCTACAACTGAAATCTAAGGCATCCGAGATGCAGCAAGTTCTACATACTTTACCTTTTTGTTTTTGCTGAACCTATTCATATGAATGGGCCGGTCAGTTACTTATAGCTTCGAAACCCTGATTTCCAAAGACTGACATTCCTTTGAGGGAGGAAGGCCACAAGCAGCCAAATCCTACCTTGCTCCACGGGCAGTGTCCTGAACTGGACACTGGGACTGTATGGCCCGGGCCCTTTGCTCGTGTGAGCACGTACTTTTACATCGTATGTGGTATCTGGCTTTAAGCCAGTGAGTGTCATAGTGGTGTCGGCTGGAACAATAAGCTGCTCCATGGGAAGAAGGGGGATGTTGATATCCCTGTACAGAAGGGTATACTTGGTGATAATGCCGTTTCTCTCTGCCAGGACAGGTGGCTGCCAAGATAACTGGACGGAGGTGGAAGTGGTGCTTTCCGAGTGAAGGCTTTGAGGGAATCCAGCGGGGACTTCTTCTGGAACAGAAATCTCCTTCACCATCTCCTCCCCGAAGCCCACTTTGTTTCGGGCTGAGAGCCTGAAGACGTACGACGCTCCTTTGTGGATGTCTGTCGCGGTAAAGTGATCTTCTTTCTCAGAGAACTCCAGAGTGGTGAGCGGCTCCGTGTCCTTGCGGCCGAACTTTAGGCGGTAGCCCTGAAGGGGTCCGAATGTGTCCACGGGAGGGTGCCACTGAATGAGAGCGGTATTCATCTGAGTGTGGTTAATCACAAGCCTGGGTTTCCCTGGAACTGGAGCACACAGTAGGGAGTGGTAAGACCCACCAGAATGGACATTCACGCTGCGGTCACTGCCAATCAGAGTTCTCTACTGGCATTCTCACAGAGCTATGCAACCCCCACCCTGACAAAAGACGACGTTTTGCCCACACATCTTTTTGGAAGTACGCTCCTTCTCTTACTTGAGGAAGGTGGGCGACAATACCAGAATTTATTTGGTAAGTGACACAAAGTAGGAATGATCGTTGAATCATCCATTTAAGGAAATTTTTATTGCCTTCACACATAAGGTTGAATGCCACTAAGAAATTAATCTGAATGAAGATTAGCCAATCAGATATAGCTAATGAGAACAATTTAATGATGGAGTATGTAAAAAGTACCGAGCACTGTGCTAAGAGTATTTCACACAGAATTCTCATTTGATTCCCATTCCTGACTCCTTGGTGCATTCTCTGATCAGTTATTATTATCTCCCTTTTCCATGTAAAGAAAATGAGACCTAGAGAGGTAGAAAACTGTCCAAGGTGAGGTGTGTTGCAAGTGAGGAAGCTATAAGGTAAATTAACTCTCCCTGAATCCGTAGCTTAAACCCTCCCTGAATCCGTAGCTTAAATGTTTAATTGCGCTGTTACATCGCTTAAAAGTTAAATAACAGTGTGGCTTTGACTTACTATGGATCTAATTTACACTTTTTGTCTAACTTTACTATCCATACTAGTCAACCACATCAAGTTCTTCACCTGTAAATTGAAAATTATATTAAGATCTACTTCATATGGCTATGATGAATAATAAATGAGGAAATTCATGTCAAAGTCTTTGTATAAAGTGTTCATTCTATTCATGTTAATTATAGTGATTAATTATCAGGATATTAGCCTTTTTGTGGTCAGGGGCTAGTTTCCCATAAGTACAGAACTTATTTATCTTTAAGTTAGGTGAGTGAAGAGTTCTAATCTACTCATTCAATGCATGATCGCATCTGTATTTTTTCTTTTTTACTGGAGAACAATTATTCCTGGAATCCAGGGTGAAACACACTGATAAACCAAACCGAGCCAGGAAATTCTTTGGGAACTGTCCAAAGATGTATCATCAGAGAGTATCATCAGAATCGAAACCAAACAAAGTTCATAGAAAAAAGAAGAAAGACAGTAGGAAGGGAGGAAAGTTTACAACAATGGGAGGGAGGTCATTTTAAAAAATAGCATCATGGGATATAGATAAAAGTTTAAAAAAACACCAGAAAGATAATGGATAGTACATAGAATGCTAACCTTAGAGAGGATCTGGTTATCTTACATTTCAGATCTTTGCATTTTATATTTCAGAAGGTTGAGACCCAGGCGGAGATGTGCTCTGCTGAGAACACATTCATTACGATATCTCTATCCTTAACCAATGGAGCAACAGCTGTGCTCACATGCTGGGGAGATTCCCAGTAAGGTTTTTATAACTCAGCTAATCTATAATGTATGGAAAGAATAGTTCCTAAAGTTTGTAAGGCAAGTGTATACCGCGCATGTTGAAGGTTGGCCCAGAAGCCAAACCACTGTGTGTACTCATGGTGCCCTTGGAAAAAATGCATACTGGGATTTTAATCACCAACTAATTGACTCTCAGAATGCAATCCATTCATAAGTCGGAGAGTGCCTGAATTATTCTATTTTTATTTTAAATATACTTACAACTGTTTTGATTTTTAAATAGCACTTTAAGGTAGACACTGGCAGACATCTTTAATTCCCCTTTATGTACACACAGCATTTACATGATTTGTTCATGAAAATGCCAGCAATTGTGCCAAAGATTAAACATTTGAGTCTCCACTGAGAACGATCCGCAGGGAACTGGAGCTTTCAGCAAAGGCTACACCCATCAATAAAATAAATCCAGTTGAAACGAATGACTCTGAACATAATTATTCTCAATATCCTCCAAGTACAATACATTTTATTAAATGTATTTGTTAAACATTTCCCGAATTTTAGTTCCAAGGCACGAAATTTAAATAATATGTAAGTTGTGCATTTTGTTTCTATAAGATGCAGGTAAAGCTAGGGCAAATAAAAAGACTTACTTTCTTGATATAAACCACAAACATAGCATTCTAATAATATGAGTCATTTATAAACTAGTATGTTCTTATTAACTGATGTTTTACTTTATAATATCACTATGGGGCAACCCCCTCGGGTCCCCTCCCGCTGTGGGAGCTTTTCTGTCCTCTCAATAAATCCTGCTTTCAAAATAATAATAATAATAATATATATCACTAGGGCACAAAATTTGAGAAATAGAATGGACTGGTAAAGTCTAAGAAAAAAAGCCACTGACTTTATGGAAGCACATTTATTCTTCCATGGGAGTCAAAGTTTAGCTTGAAGCAATGTCTTGTGTTTTTGGATGCTGGCAAGACCTTTCTTATTCTGGGATGTGAAGCCCTTATGGGCTTAGATTCATGAGATCAAAGGAATGCTCTAGAACTAAGAGCGTCAGCGTTGACCCACTGGCTTCCACTTCCGTGCCAGGAACATCTCAGTCTATTGCCAAACCCACAAAAGTCATCTCTATTGCCAAACCCACAAAAGTCATCTCGTCCCTGCACAGAAGTTCACTTAAGCCTGAAAACTTATGAGACAACCAGCCCAGGAGCACCAAGAAGCACACGTGAAGGATTCAGTGAACAGACCGATGCAGAGGCAGCTTGAGGAAAAACTCCAACATCACCTCAGGAGAGGCTGGCCCATGAGGGGATGCCTAACATCTCCAAAAGTGGGCGAATAATAGAAATAACAGATGCAGCTTAAATAAGTTGGAGGTAAGAGTTCCAGACAGTTGTGGTATTTCAACTGGGGAATAACTGGTAAGATTTTAAAAAAAAGGGGGAGGGAGGGAGTGAAATGAGGAGAGTTCTACATCACTGCATATATAGTTAAAAAGAATTCTCTCAAACTTTACATATAGGCACTGGAACCCATTCCATTTCTGGCTTCCAGAAACTTTGTATGCATGAAGCATTTATCAACTACTTACTCTGTGCAAAAACTTGTACAAGGGCACACAGGCATTTAAAGGTGAAAATACAGAAGGATATAGCAGAATCCACACCCTCTAAAACATGCATACTCTAGTTGGGAAAATAAAGGGATGTGCTCTCTGTGGAGTCTGGCTCAGGGTTTCTAATGCATTAGGGTTACTGTGGACTACTTTTATAGGCCATACTAGCAACAGGGCAAATGGTTCTACTTACGCCAGTATTGAGCTTCAGACCTGATAAATGAAAGTGTCTTAAATAATTACTTAGGGAAGTTTGGAGGCCATTTTTTAAAAGCAGGGTCTAGTGAATCTATTGGTAGAAGCAGAGAGGGTCCAGCTACAAAAGAAGTAAGTTAACTCGATTTATATCATGACATATAAACTCTTCTCCCTTCAGTATGTTCTTATTCCCTTATTATATTCTTCCTGTCTAAAAATCTTTTAGGACGTCAGAGATGGTACACAGGTGTCTGGTTGCCCTTTACTTCTTAGCACTAGCAATCACTGGACATGCACCATGGTACTCAATCCCAAGAGCTCTAAATGTAGCCTCAAATTAGCACCAGAGAGGCAACAACCGCAATCGGCTGGACTAAGCCTATTATTTCCAGATTCTCCATGTCATAGTCCTCTTTTGATCCTCCTTAAACATAGCTGTTCCATATTGTACTGAAACTCATGTGAAAACATACGGAAAGTGTCAAACCAGTGAATCTTCTGATTGCTTTTACCCTCGAGGCCTCAGGCAGTAGACCAATCATGATATAGAACAACGGGAGTGTTAACAAAGAAACTACAAACATGTCATAATCACTGAAACATAATGGCCGACATTTTATTCAGAAGCATCCCTCAGGTTATACGAATTTTTACATAGATTTTTAAAAATATGAAACGTACTCTTGTTTCAAAGATATGATTGTTTACAGATTCTGGAAACAATGTATACCAAAGAAACACATCCGATAATCAGGAATTTTACTACTCAAATAAAATGTCATGAGAATTCCTGAAATCTCTATGGAAGCTGTCACTAAATACCCTTGCAACTGTGTTTATTAGGATCTCATATCTGTGAGATAAACTCGGTAATTCTTCACAGTCACATAAATACATGAGGATTTTTTTTTTCTGGTAACAGTATACAAAACAAAACAAATTGGTATGTTCACTAATTGCATAGGGATAAACCATGAGTAATGAATGCTTATGCAATAAGAAAAACAAACCTAGAGCTTTGCTCTTAAAGTAATTATAAATCTGGATTCTCCCACCTTCATCCTAGGCTCAGAGGGGGAGTTTCAGGAAAGAAAACATGCAGCCATACAAGTATAAGGATTTTCTATTTCAATATCCAAGACCGAAACAGCGAGTGGAAATTCCAAGACAATATCATTTGTGACTAGGATCTATAATTCTAAATAATCTTTTGTTTGGTGGCTAGAAAGAGATGAGCTAGTCTTAGTGGCATTAAAATAGAAAAAAAAAACACAACATTCCTTTCCCTAGGATTCACATCCCTTGGCTATAAAATCTCCACTTTCTGCTCGCTAAACGACCCTGTGATATGGGCGATAGGCATTTGATGCTTCATAGAAGACAATTCAGACTTATTAAGACTTAGTTACAATGCATTTCTTCAACTTGGGATTCAATTTCCAAAGTTTATTCTTGGTGGTCTATTTCCAGTAGAGACTGGTTCCATGGCCTGATAGCCATCCTGCCATCTTGTCCCTCACTGAATAGATATCTCCTATTCTGTGCACTAAATTCGCTTGGTACAATAGTTTTCTTAGAAGAAAGAAAAAAAAAGCCCAGAAGACTCTGCCTTGAAGGAGCTCTGCCATCTGCAATCCTGCTGCTTGAGGCAGTTCCAGGTGGCAGGAGGTGAGGGAGGCAAATCTTATGACATTTAGACAAATTTGGCAGTGAGCACAGCACCCGGGAGGGTCCTCAGCCTCACAGCTGTTCTTTGCTTTATGCCTTTACGTCGAGGCGTGTTCCTAAAAAGTTGTGTGAGACGTGATTTGGGAGGAGATCATCAAAGCATGGTGTGAACGTGCCATGGAAGACTGCTATATATGGGGACTGGAAGAGACTCCTTTTGTAATTATCTCTTAATTAGCAGGTCCTACAATGCCAGGTCTTCCCTCATGCTACCTTTCCCCCCGGGGCCAACCAAAGTAACCCTGAAGGGCACCAGGCAAGCTTTGGTCCTCAGAAAGGAGCACTTTTATACGACCGAGCCTTGGTTTTCATCATTCTCTTGTCTGTTTCTCATCTCTGGTACAATTTGGCTTCTCTGGAATCCCCACAGCAGGGGTTGGGGAACAGAAAACCACGAGAGAGAGAATGGTACATTATGAACACACTTCAAGACGGCAGCACGTCTAAGAGTTTGGTGACTGGGAGAGGTTGAACCTGCTGTGTGATTTCCCTTCCCTGCCTAGTTTAACTTTTCCTCCAGACCTTCACGGGACTTGCTCCTTCACGTAATCTGAGTCTCAATGCAAAGATCTTTCCTCCAAGAGACCTTCTGAGCCCCTGATCCACAGCACGTCTGTCTACGCATTTACTTTTCATCTTATGACTCCTGACTTTTTACTATATACTTATTTAGTCCTTGTTAACTTTCTCAGCATCGTCAGGAAATAAAGTTTCTGAGGGCAGAGTCTTTTTCTGTTTTGTTGATTGTTTGTATCCCCAGCTCTGAGAACAGTGTTTCACTCATAGCCAGGGCTCAAAAATATTTGTTACATGACCGATTAAATAATGTGTACAAAGTATGGGCTTGGATTTCTTTTCCCACGAACTATTTTTATTTTTTCCTGAATTCAAAAACTCAGAAGTTGACCCCAGGACATTGATTTCCTCTGAAATCATCCTAATAAAACCTTGACAGAAGCAACCCATATTCTTTGGAAAGTTAGGATTATTCTTCAAGGCAAAATTATGCACAGACATAATTACCTGCCCCTGTGGTGGACACCAGTTTGGGCTTGCTGCGAGCGCCATCTCCTTTGGTGGTATAGGCTGTGACGGTGAGGGAGTAGGAAGTTTCAGGCTGTAGCCCAGAAATGATCATGTCCTGAAATGATACAACAGAATAACACTGGCTCAAAGCATGTTACAAACGTCCTGGGGTGGGGCCGAGGCCATTCATTGTCATTCTGCGCATGCTTGAGCATCCCTTGAAGCCATGCTAAGCACTGGATGTATCATGCCTGAGGATCATGCTCCGGAGATCTGTTTTCACGCCGATATGGAATGGGAGTCTTCAGACATCCCAGGAGGCAGCTCCTAGGGCAGCAGTCCAGAACACCAACTCCGGAGCCAGACCTCCTGAGTTCATGAACGCCAACTTGCCTCTCCTTACTAGCTTTGCAATCCAGAGTTAGTAAGTGTGACCCTCTGTGCTCTCCTTTCCAGTCTGAAAGTAGGAAGGCTAAGAGGACCCCATAAGGTTCTTGGAGGGTTCCATGAGTTATGGCAGGTAAACGCTTAGAACTTGGCCAAGCTTATTGTGAGCCCTCCGTAAGCTTGCTGTTCTTTTAGGCCAGCAGTTCTGCATACGCATCCACTGAAGCCCGACCCACAGACGGGGGTGGCACTGATGCCAATGTACACAAGAATTCTGTCAAATGGCAGATGGTGGCTCTAGATAGCCGAAGAGCCAGAGAATTTTCTTAGGACTCCAGGAACTTATTATTGGCTATGAACAAAAATCATCATACATTGAAGGGAACTTTCTGGTAAATTAGAAAGCAGGTCATAAGACCAAAGGATATAACATGACTTGAGTTTTACCACATCACTAATAGGTGTTCAGCTAATTCTGACTATTTAGAAAATGTTAAAAAACACAAGCTGTTTACAAAAATCCTTAGCTTTCCCTTAGTAAGGGCTCCAAACGGTGGTGGTTATAATACCTGATGACCTTTGATTTATTCCTTTAAGAGGAAGGTTACATGATTCTTAGAGTGCTGGCTATTAACTTGTTCCAGCATTTTAGAGCAAATACCAGAGCTGTATGTGCACACACGTGCACACACATACATACACACACACAGAACAATATAAAAACCCTCTCACATTTCTGGCCCAGCTGTGTTTTCAAACTGAATATGAATAAATATAACAAATATGCAATGTCATTGTCTTCCAAATCTAAAGACAACGTGAGTGTCAAGTGAATGAACTGGATTGTGTCAAATACAGTAGGATTTTTTTTAAAGCTAGGCGGTAACAGGGACCATAGAACTCAGTTATTGAAGCTGATCCCAAATATGACAACTTTTGACAACATGCTTTCTTAAAAGAGTACAACAGTCTTTATTGTGGAAATTCACGAATTTCTGATATTATTCCGAAGAGTCATTGGAAATTTTATTCTGCCAGATAAATGGTCTATTTGGAAGAGATTGTTGTATTTTCAGGACCTTGAAATGGTTTCACTAACACTGCAGAGGATACTAAAATTAAGTCAACTATCTGAGACCTGCATTTTCAATTATGGCACACATAACGACTATGCCAAAAACTATGAGTAAACGCCAATGTTATTGTTTCCAAGGTTCCCCTCCCATGCCACGGGCTTTGCTGCTGAAAAACAGGCAAGGCTAGCAGGAAAAAGGAGCAAGGTTTCCTTCAGTCACCATATTTTATAGCAAGAAATGTACACACTCTGAGCTTCCAATGAGTTTCGCATTCATAAAATTGAGGTTCATCACACGTATCCATCCTCTCGTCCAGGTTGTTAGAGTACATAAGTAACACGATTAAGTCCTCCACAGCGGCTTAATCTCAGCTGGACACCCCTCTGTCCTATCCTGTCTTGGGATGCATTTTCTTTCTTTAAGCTGTGGGTGCACTTCCTTGGCCATTCAGTCTCCTCTGTGAGGTGGTGTGCCTGATATTATATGGTCACAGTTCCTCAATCTCCTTGTTGTCTCCTGTCCTGCCCTCACTCCTTTTCTTGTCCCTGCCTGTTAGAGGTTGGCACCCCTGAAGTTCTGACCCAGTCTCTGGCCCGAGGAACTGTTTGCGAGTCCTAAAAAACCTGCATTCATTTCCAAATCTTAAATAATTGTTTCTGCCTGTACCTGAAATCTAGCTCCAGCTCTGACTTCCTACCTGAGCTCCATGGCACGTATGTTGTAAATAACTGCTGGACATTTTCCTGTGGCCTATGAATGTTCCCTCAAGTTCAACTTAACGGACGCTCCAAAATCATTCCCAGAAGCTGACTCTCTCTCCCTGCTTCCACATTTTAATGAATGGTATGCATCTGCAAAACTTCTGTGCTACCTTTCACCTCTTTCTCTTCCTCAGACTGTCACCAAGCCTTTGTCAATTCTTTCTTTTCTTGGTCATAGCTATCCCTTTTTCCCTTCTGCTGCCTCAACTCAAATTTTTATCATTTCATGATAAAGTTCATAGAATAGATCCTTTTGCCTGTTTTTCTACTTTCTACCTTCTTACTCTCTAATCTAACATGAAGACGCTGGTTTTTAAATTGCAGGTAATGACCCCTTTAGTAGGTCATAAAATCAATTGCGTACGTCACGACCAGAATTTAAACAGACAAAAATAATCAACTTTAATACAAAATGTTAGAATTTATTACATAAAGTATGGTTTTATACAATTTTTATTTTAGTTAAACACATATGTGCATTGCAACAGGACATATAATGCATTTCTTACTGCGGGTCATAGTTAAAGCAGTGATTAGAAACACTGCTACACTGTCAATTCCATTTCCAATGAGATTCCTATGCTTTGGCAATAAATACTTATTCACTGATTGAAGGACTTCCTTCCTCCCAGTCTATCGCTTTTTCTTTTAATATTTTTCTATATCCCTTTAGTACTGAAGAGTTAAAGACCAACTAGCTCTTCAGTTTGACGCTCCAGGTTTTCCCAGTATTATGTGGCACTAACTTACTTTCACAAAGCCTTCGTTTGCTTCAAATAGGCAACGTCACTGTCACCTGACTACACCCCACTGCCTCAGTCAACCGCCTCAGTGACTGCCCCTGCCGTGCTAACTTTAAAAAAATACAGGCCTGCCTTCAATTCCCCAGCACACTTTGATGCACACACACACTTTTTCACCTACTCAATCTCTAGTCACTTTTAATGTTTTCAACTAAGCTTCAGAACTTCTTTGACCATCCTGGACCACTGTCTGAATTCATGCCTCTTGCTGACGTTGTCTCTCATTTATTCACGCATTACACGTTGCTTTAGGCCGTATCTGTTGCTGGTTTTTTTTTTTTTTTTTTGAGTTGGAGTCTCACTCTGTTGCCCAAACTGGAGTGCAGCGGCCGCTCCCGGCCACCGCAGCCTCGACCTGCTGGGCTCCGGCGATCCTTCCGCCTCAGCCTTCCGAGTAGCTGGAATTACAGGCATGCGATACCATACCCGGCTGATTTTTTTTAAAATTTATTGTAGAGATGCGGTCTCGCTGCCCAGGGAGGTCTCAAACCCGTGGGCTTAGGCAATCCACTCACCTCAGCCTCCCAAAGGCGCGGGATTATAGACTGAGCCACTGAGCCTGGCTCTGTTGCTGTATTTTATGACACTTTTCAGAACTTTATTTTTTCTTTAGCCAGCTATATTGTAAACACCAGAAAGGCAGGTGTCACATTATGTATCCCCTGCAGAATAATATATATAATAATATCAGGGCCGGGCATAGTGGCTCGGCATGTAACCCCAGCACTTTGGGAGGCCGAGGCGAGAGGATCGCCTGAGCCCAGGGGTTTGAGACCAGCCTGGGCAACTTGGTGAGACCTCGTCTCTGCAATAAATCACAAAAACAAACCGGGAGTTGTGGAGTGTGTCTGTAGTCCCAGTTACTTAGGAGGCGGAGGTGGGAGAATTGCCTAAGCCCAGCAGGTGTAGGCTGAGGTGGCCATGAGAGCACCACTGCACTCCAGCCTGGGTGACAAGATGAGACTCCAACTCAAAATAATAATAATAATAATAATAATAATAACAATATCTTGATAAATAACAAACCTCTCATTCAAATATTGAAAAAAATTCCCTCTTTAGTGAAATACGTTCTTTCCTGACATGATCCATTCAATTCCACTGAAATCTTTACAAGTACAACAGAGTTGACTAACTCTTCTACGTAGAGTTAGTCAATGCCAGACCTATGTCTTGCTAGCCACTGGATACACAATCGTGGGGTAGGATTCATGAGCAGCCAATATCAAATAACTTACTCTCTCCAGTCTGCAATACTCCCATTGAAAGCATGCCTCCTCTGACTGTGTCACAAGGCAGAGTTAGTAGCAGCCATCAAAACAAATATCACAAGCCCATGATGTTTCTTATGCGATCAGTAGCCCCATGCTGGTTTCACAATATCAAAAACCAAACCAAACAAAAACCAAAATAAAAAGCATACCACATAGCAAAGATAACTTAAAAAAATAATTTGTTAGTTCATGCATCAAGCAAACAGTGATGCAGATCACAGATAAATGAAAGAAGAGTATCAGAGAAAACAAGCATATATAGACTGCTTTTGACAAAGCAGTTAAACATTACTCACATGTTCGGTAGTATCATCAAATTCCCACTGATTGAGATTAAGAAGGTTGGGGAGAAAACAAAATAAAAAGAAATGAAGAGAAATTTGTAGCCTATCCAGGCAATGTTCCCCTTCTTAGATTAAAAAAAAAGAAGAAGAAGAGAGAAAACGACTGAAGCAACGTGCACAACAAAATTCCAAAGAATGTAAGTATGTATTGCCTCCTTTCCTACCCCTAACTGAGTTCACATTAAATATGTCTTATTACTGTTATCACTAAAGCCAGCCAATGCTTTTAAAAATGGATGGTTCACCAAAATACATCAATAAGGTATAGCAAAGGCTAATGTCTCTAATCATATACTACTTTATGACATTTATTTTGACTCCTTTCTTAGCTTACACAATTAATTCAAGTCACTAGTTAGATTATCGTTCATTCTGTTGCGATCTTATAGCTCAAATGAAATCCTGTGAAATGCAATGAAGTTTCAGTGAATAGTCAAGAAGAAGAAATGAGCTGGGCAAGGGAAAAGAAGGCATAAGAAAAAACCAGCAATTAATAAAGGAAAGCCAAAGTAGAAGAGAGAAAAAGAGAGTTGACATTTAATGCATCCAATATTCTGTAATTTCATTAACTGCCATATTTCATAATGAAAATGGAGACAAAATTATAGTTCCATAATGTAAAATATCTAAGAATCAAAGAACACCAAAGCATGATGATCCTACTGACTTCTTTTTCATAATTGCAGACTTACAATATAAAACACAGCAATAATGGCTTCAATAATTTTATACTATGTTACCTTTCTTTTTTATAGGTACTACAAAATAATTACGTATAAAAAATCAAGTCAATGGTCTTTTTTCAGGATGAAGGTCTACCTAAGTTTATAAAATCATACCACTGAGTTTGGGGTAGATAAGTGAGCCAGGAGTCCTGATACCTCTAGTTAGAATGTTTCAAAACGAAAGCAAACATAACCACTTGGTGAGTTGACTTATATTAGAATTCTGGGGGTAATACTTTCCTTAGAGTCACAGGGATACTTATTGCACTCTTATTTTTGCAGGCAAGAATGAAACACTGGGCAACCTGTGCAATTTTCCATTTGTTTCATAATCTTTCCCTCTTTTACACAAAGGAAGACATACTCATTTGAAATACATTTTAAATATTTTACAAACTCCGTATTTTTCCCTGCCTGGTCACCGATTTTCTGGATTATTAAAGCCCTCCAAGGTCCATAATCTCCTATACGACTACGATTTGACACAGCAAATGTAAGGTAGTCCACGGGTTATGCATAATTTCCAGCATGGCAGTTAAAAATTGGGATCTTCCTCTTCCTTTCAGGAAAATGTGTAAAATATGACTGGATTTATTATGGGACTCTCTTTGACTCTCCTTGAACTTATGAAAAAAATTGAACAATTTCAATGCTCTGCTTTAAACAATGAATTACAAAACAAGTTCTGATACCATGGTTGTGAACTTCTAGCCTAAGGTGAACAAAATTTCTCACATTTCTCACAAGTTCATCTACCCACTATTAGCACTTTTCTTAACTTATCTCAACATGGGGAATTTTTTATGCACTGAAAAATTCTAATTTAATTCGTATTATCATTGTCATTATTTTCATTTGCTATGACACGAAATAACTCCTGTCCTCAAATGTGTGACTTGATGAAGAAGAACTAAACAGAATACTACCTGGGTACCTTTCCTGAACACAAATGTCCATTCTTCTGTGGAAGAAGTCAATATTTACAAATTAGATCCACTAAGTTCCAGGACATTTTAGCACAACAGAGAGCAGATCCTATCAGCAAAATTGCAGCTTAGAATTCTTCCGTTTGACTTGACTGAGTCAATCATTTTTTCTTTTAAGTCAGAAAGGCAAACTCAGATACAGCTGTAGAGAGCTGAATATCTGCATTTTAAGAAAACGGTCATGTTTTTAACCAGACATGAGTATCATTTCATTACAATTCACCTCCTCACTTGATGGCAACTCTGATTGAAAAGGTAAATACACATCGATGTGTATTAAAAACTAGAATTTTGTACCGGATTTTTTAAATGTCAGAAATTCTAAAATGAAGACCCATGTTAGGATATGAACTAACATAACCTATTATGCCAAAATATAGGTATATCATTTCAGAGGCTTACCTGTGCATCAGCCAGCATGACATCTTTCAGCATGGGCTGGCCCTTGGGCTCACCATTTTCCATCCTCACGTAATGCACCTGGTATCCTCTTATCTGGCCATGCTGTTTGTTGGGCACAGGTGAGCGCCATGAGACTTTAACAGATGTTGAGTTGACAGCCTCTACCTCGACTTTGCGAGGAGGACCACTAGGAACTGGAACAACATCATTGGATAAAAGAAAATTATAGGCACTGTCCCACCCAGTCAGAGCATTTTCTTTACTTAGGCTTTTTAAAAAATGGGTAGACCCACTATGCTTCCTTTGAAGAATACAAACATTTTCAACCAATGAAAATGCTTAACCAATCTGCTCTACCTTTTAAGAAAAGATCAAAAAACATGACCGATGCAAAAAAAAATGGAAGAAAAAAAGAGTATCAGAGAAATAGAAAAACATGTAAAAAATGTACAAAAGCCAAGGAAGATGCTTTGAGTTTCAAAGCATTAAAGCACAAAGAAGTATAGCATTGAAATAATAATAAAAACTGGCTGTTGACTGTTGTGTGTTTTTTAAAGGTTTCTTTTTTTTAATAGCGGAATAAAAACATTCTTGATAATATGAATTCTCTTCTTTTTTTTCTCATATCAAAGGTATTCCATACAACAGATGCCAAAAATTGAATGTCGAGCATCAGTGTCTCTGAAACAAGTAAGACAAAAAGACATCAAAAAGATAAGAAGGTAGATTTGAAAAGTTAACTTCAAAACGTAAAAGAAGTGAATACAAAAAGCCAAGAAAGATACAGAAGACTTTAGATGGAGGTACAAAGAAGGGCTGGATTGTAAGGTCACAGGCGTCAACTGTTCCTTTAAAGGCACGCAAATGACAGCAGAGAGACTGGGGAAAAAAAAATGCCCAGGCTGCAGCAAAGACAAGTCTCTGGCAAAAATACTGAAGATAGCCATGCTGGGCGAAAAAGATGAGCAGAGAAAAAAAGATTACTGTGAGCCTATCAAAAGACAGCAGACCAGGATTGTGTCAGAAGGGTGCAAACGGACGGAGCGGAGGCAACATACCATCTTCATCGGTTCGAATCAACACGGATAAGCTCTCAGGGCCAGGGCCGACATCTGTGTGGGCGGTCACCGTGATCCGGTACTCAGTCCATTTTTCCAGCTGTTCCAAAAGGTATCTGGTAGTGTCCGAAGAGATTCCCCAAATCTCGTGAGGCTTGTCATCTTCCCCGTCCACTGCCGTGTACTTGATGGAGTATTCGGTGATAATGCCATTCTGTTTTTCCACGGGCGGAGGTTGCCAACTTACCAAAATACTAGTGGAACTTGGGCTGGTGCAACTAATTTCTTGAGGAGGAGCTGACGGCTCTTTTTTTGGCAGTGAGTTAAAGGAGGATTTAAGTGAAAGGACAGGAGTGGTTGGAAAAAGAAAATGATAAAACAAAAGAAAAGGCAAAAATAAATAAACGCACGATAAGGGCAACAGAATGAAAACAAGGCTTCGAAACTTAAATTTTAAAGATACACTGATGTACCTTGGCTTAGTAATATGAGCAAACCAAAAAAAATAAAAAATGAATAAATGACCGAAAATAACTGTTAAATAATGGGTGGGGGGAGTATGTGAAAAGGAAACCCTGAGATCTCAGAGCCTCAAATAAAATTACCTACCTGTGATTTAAATCCTTCTTCTAAACCAATCCCCCAGCATTCCCGCCCCCACTCTAGTGACTATCCAGCTTCAAAAAGCTGCAAATCATGCTAGCTTTTTTTTTTTTTTTTTTTACTTGAGAGTCTGGTGACGCTTCACAGATGTTGTGTCCAAGTTTGCACTTCTACATTCTAGAATGAGGAAGATTTACATACAGCACTCAATTGTGAAAGGCTTCTTAAGTGTGAAAAGTGACAATGATCACTAGTGCCCCTCCACCAGTTCCAATTAAAATACATACATACATACATACATACATACATAAAAAGCCCAACACACATAGGACGGTTCACTCCATCTGAAAGACTGAGTTTGCCTGACTAGTTTTAATAAAAAGCGTGAACCTAGCATTGATCGCAACCCATGTACGGTCAGCATGCAGAATCAATAGAGAATGAAAATGCACAGTCCGAGCTTTACCTACCCGAGGGGCAATGTCAGGCTTGTTGATTCTGACTGTAACTTGTACTTACCCTAGGTCAGCTCTCAGCTTTTTTATTATAACTCTTCTTGAGACACCATTGCTAGTGAAAAATTAGATCCCACCAGCAAATTTTGGTCAAGTCAGTCATAATAATCTATCCCTCACACAATGTCAATAACACAGCCATTACAAAGAACTCTTTTAAAACGCAAGAATTATCTGGAACACGTATGACTTATGTACAAAATTTCTTACATTCTGTACATAATTATTCATACAAAGTAGAGTTTACATAAGAGTTACAAGATCCGCTGTCTTCCTGCCCATTCTAAAATGAGCTGGTCACTTATTTTCCATCAAATTGTAACCGAACATATCATAATTTGAAAAAATTAAAAATCATAAAGAACAATACAACTATTATCATGAGTTATTTTTGAGTGAATAATGCACGTTCCTAAAGTAGAACAAATAAGTGGGCTAAGATATACAAATACATATACCCACAGATGTATATTTTAAAGCAATGTATATGGTGGGGTGAATACAGCGACCTATTTTTTGTATTTGAATGTGCTGTCTAGGGATTTCCTTAGATTTTGTGGGTCTTAGTGTTTTGGAATGCCAGGTGTATCCGATTGTTTAGAGAATTGTCAGTCTTTCTCAATTTATACGCCTTGTGTTCATTATTATAGGCAATCAAAATAAAAAGCTCTCTGTACTGACAAAAAAGAAATCCTCATAGGACAGCCTTGTACATTTGGAATAATATTTGTAGAATCACTAGAATATCATTTTTATTGATTCTGACTAGAGGTTCTTATATCTCAAATTATAAAACTATTTCATATGCATTATCATTATTCATAATAAATTGAGTTGTTCATGTAAAAGCAAGGACTCATTTGTAATTCTTTTTAAAAAGCTGATTTGGTTTTCACTAGGGCTACCTTCAGACCTCCTATTTTGTGAGAATATATCTTACACCTTTGGAAACTTTCGCTTTATTAAAATAAAGAGCAGATAAGCTTTTGATGTGGTTATAAAAAACCCATTCAATATCTATTTATGTATATATGTAAAACAGTGAGGCTTGTAAACCAATGCAGAATATAATACTGAAGTATGTAACATTTCTTTTAATTAAATGTTTGCTTTTGAGAAATTATCTTCTATAATATTATTTAATAGCCTACCTGGAATTCCAAGTAGACATACAGAAAATCCATTAATTTACATGCTTCTGTCTTTACATGAAGAGAAATTTTATGGGAATTTAATTATACTCATTACTGAATTACGCAATAAGATCCTAATGCTTTTGATATATATAATCATATTTTGAATAAGAGGGTGAATATGATTTTCACTATCAAAAACTGGAAGATTTTAAGTTTCTATAGAAAAGAAATGATGAAAATTGTGTTTATATGAAAAGAAATTAATCTTTTAAAACACAAATGTTATGTTTGCTGACAGGTCTAAGTATGAGGTCAACAGACTGCCCTCTTGACAAAATTCAGTGTATTTATGTTTTATGTATCTATTGCATATGCTACTATGTCAGAAAGCACAGATAAGATAAGCACCAAAAAAAAAAAAAAATCTAAGAAAATAACGCCAGAAAACTCTTCAATTCAAGATATATAGTTGTTTATGGCCGATTTGTAGATACTTACTAATAAAAAGCAAACAATAGAATTATTAGCCACCAAACCTTCCATCAAAAACAATCTCCTATAAAATACTTTATGCAAAACAATCTGCCCTGTGCACAATGAACTCCCCACTGTGATAAACACGGCTATGCTTAAGGGTAACCGTTCCGAAAAGAAATTGAACCTGAGGAAACAAAATATAATTTAGGACTGTAAATTGTGCTTTATTTATTCCATTATTCCTAAATTTGCTCAAATACAGATCTTCTGCGAATGTTCTAATGTTCTAAATTTCCGCAAGTACAACTTGCAGAGTTAATAAGAGACAAGTCATAAAAGCCAAGCTTTTTTCACTGAGTAGGAACAAATATGTAAAATAAAGACGTATTTGTTGGCAAAGTTAAAACCTGTGTGCTTACAAAAGATCCAGGTTTCCTTTTCTGCTGCCTCTCTCTTTTGTTAAGCCCTCCCATGATTATTTCGCCCTGGTCTCAACCTGAATTCCGCTCTCGAGACTTACAACTCATCCAACAGGGCTTGATCTACCTCCTTTCACCCACTTTTCACCCACGGAGGTCTACTCGCTTCTGTTGCTCAATTTAGGAAGTGGGAACACGAGGTCTGCATTTTGGACCACGTTTGAAACCAAAATAAATTATGATTACACTCAACTCCCCAAAGCTGGGTGTATACTGGCCTGGAGGATGTTGACTGTTAAGCATATTAGCAGGTTTGCTTATTGTCAAAGGTGAAAGCTAGCAAGATCTCCCAATGAAAACAGGGCAGAAAGTAAGCAAAGAGAGACACCTACTTGACTGCATGGTTCTAGCTGATATTTCCGCGGTAGAAGCACCCAGGCCTTGAGGAGAGCGTGCAGCCAGACGGAAGTAGTATAAGCTGTTTGGTTTCAGCCCTTGCAGCCTATACGATGGCCCTGGCTCAATGGTGATTCGCTGCTGTGAGTAACAAGAGAATGTGGTCATCTTCTCTAAGATTTATGCAAATATTTGTATCACATTGACTGGAACATCAAGATTCTGCCATCAGGATTATAATCTCATCAAAATACCACAAAAAAGAGTTAACAGTATGTATCCAGGACTATACTAGCGAAATTATATAATGAGAATATCAGTTTAAAAGCCAACTGTCTTTTTTGTTTTTTGTTTTTTTGAGGTGGAGTCTCACTCTGTCGCCCAGACTGGAGTGCAGTGGCTGCTCCCGGCCACCACAGCCTCGATCTGCTGGGCTCCGGAGATCCTTCCGCCTTAGCTTCCAAGTAGCTGGAACTACAGACGGGCAGTACCACACCCGGCTAATTTTTTGATTTATTGTAGAGATGAGGTCTCGCCAAGTTGCCCAGGCGGGTCTCGAACCCGCGGGCTCAGGCCATCCACTCACCTCAGCCTCCCAAAGCGTGGGATTACAGGCTGAGCCACCGAGCCCGGCTTAAAAACCAACTTTCTACAAAAGATAAGGTAACCGGAATAAGGAAAACCAGAGATATTTCTAATGTTGACACAGTTATCCAAATGCATCAGATAAGAGGGAGACTTGAGAGGGTAACACCCATGAGTGTGTTCCACCCGGTGGCTCAGCCTGTCAGTCATCCTGCGCCTTTGGGAGGCTGAGGTGAGGGGATGGCCTGAGCCCCCGGGGTTCAAGACCCGCCTGGGCAGTGAGACCTCATCTCTACAATAAATCAAAACATCAGCTGGGCGTGGTAGCGCGCGCCTGTAATTCCGGCTACTCAGAAGGCTGAGGCGGAAGG